GGGTCGGGGGAGGGGAGGGAGGTGGGCCCCAAGGCCGGCGCGGGGGCGGGCGGCTCCGCGGCTCCCCGCCCCCGGCCCGCCCCTCCGCGGCGCCATTTTGCAGGCTGCTGACGCGGGGACCGGAGGCGGTGGCTACGGCTGGCACTGCGACGCCGAGGCGCGGCGGCGGCGAACGGGAGCCTAGCGAGCTGCAGCCAGGTGAGAGCCGAGCCGCCGCGCCCCACGCCTCGCCCGCGGGCTGCACCTGTCGGCCGGGTGGCCCGCTGCCCGCCGCGCCCACGAGGCCGGCCTGGCACGGCCCCCGCGCGCTGTCACCGACCCCGCGTCGCGGCCTGCGTCCTCCCGTACGACCGCTGTGCTGGGGCCGCGCGGGACGGGATGCCGGGCGTCCCCAGCCTCTGCTGCTGGTGGCCGGGCCTTGCCAGTCCTCAGGCCGCGTTTGCCGGGTGGTAAGTGGGGTTTCCCCCCCACCACCCCGGGACCCGCTGGCCGCCACCGCCTTCTCCCGCGTGCAGCGTCCGCGAGTCCTTGGTTCGCACCCCTCGCCCCTCCCCAGATGGTGCGAGTCCGCTCCCCGCGTCCCCCGGAATTCGGGGCCCTTCGGAGGGGTGGCAGGGGGTGGCAGGGGTAGGGGGATGCCTTTCCTATTGCTTCCCTCCTACAAAGGCTGTGCCAAGTAATTTTAGAAGCCGCTGCTCCGAACTCAGGGCCTTTCTCTTTGGCCTGTCCCCCCCCCCGCCCCCACTCCCCGGGGTCGCGGGCCTCCCATCTTGCCACCTTTCTGGATACAGAAAATGACATTTCGAGTGTGACTGCTTTAAGGGCTTAGAATTTTCTCCTTATGGCCCTGCATCGGATGGGTGGTTGGTGGGAACTCGGCCTGTGGACCAGGAGGTTTTAAGCATGACTGATGGGAAATGAGTGGTTGTCGGGAAAGGAGGGCAAGTGCAGGTGGAAGAAAGTTACTTGTGAGGGCTTTCTGGAGGCCGGGTCGTTTGCAGGAGCTGTTAATTTTATTTTTGCCATGCTGGGAGATGGAAGGTGAAAGATGCTGCCTGCTGACATTTGGGTCATCCGTGAGCGGAGAAGGCCAGGGATATGTGAGGACATGGACCAGAGTCTGGACACATTTGGCTTCAGCAGTCATTGGCCATGTGACCTCCCTCAGCCGGTTTCCTCCTCTCCAAAGCAAAAGGCTAGAATCAGGCCTGAGCCTTTTTATTTTTATGGTTTTGTACTTGAGTACTGTTAGGCTCTGGCCTCACCCTTTCCAGTTGTCTACATCTACCTTTTCACCTTTGCTCCTGACTGCCCGACACCCTGAAGGTGGTTGACTCTGAGATTTTAAAGGGTCCATTCAGCTCAAACATTCAGAGCTCTGGGTTAGAGTTAACCCTATAGGAGATGCAGAATTACTGTCCATTCTTCACTATTCCAAACATTTAATGCTTTTGAGCACTGGTGGATGTGTGCAGTGTAAGCCCTCATGACTTACCTGTGAGTTAAAAGGCTTCAGGTGTGTCCAACCAGCTACCCGGTCCACCTGACATCCCCAGTGTGGGGGTATCTGTTTTTAGAGTATTTCCTTTGCTAAAATGGCGACTGGCTTCTTTTTATACCAGAGCATTTTTTTCTTTGCTTTCTTCGCTTGGAATGGGAAGTGATTTTTGTAAGAAAGTAGGTATTTCAGGAACTTTTTGTTGACAGTTCCCCCGTGCATCCTTCCCCACCCCCCCCATAGTTGTATGGCACTTGTGTTTTCTGACTAGCACACTAGGCTGAGATTAAACGTCTATGAAGATGTGTAAGGTGACATTGTGGCACATGCCTGTGATCCCATCACTTGGGAGGTGGAGGCAGGAAGATCCGGAGTTGAAAGCCAGCCTGGGCTACATAGAGAAATTGTATCCAACAACAACAATAAAAGGACTGGAGGTGTGGCTCAAGTGGTAGAGCACTGGCCTAGCAATCAGACACACTGAGTTCAAACCCCATTACCACCCCTCAAAAAAAGAAGTTGAAAAAATGCTTTGAAAGAACTGGCTAGACTGCCTGTCTCATTTGTGTATGACTAGTAGTCTTCCTATGACAAGAGTCTAGTAGATTTTGTATGACAGGAATGAGTTATGTGTAGCCTGTCACCCATCCATCCATCTGTCCATTTGCCCCTCCCCCTATTAATTTGGTGCCAAGTACGTTTGAACAAATTATTCCTGATTAAAACCCAGGCTATTTGCACTCAAGGAGTAGAAGGTCTAGTTTGTTGGTTATTGGAAATATTGAGTTGGCTATTGCTGTATTTTTCAGTGTCTCAGTAAGACAAACCTGGTCTCGATCTAGGAACCTATATCTGATTTCCACTGTGGGTTAAGGAATTTCCTCATTTTGGCTAAGGAAATTAAAAGTCAGCAGTAATAATTTGCATCTATATGGTGCTTTGTACCTGTAAATGGAATCTTTTAAAAACCTTATTTTTATTTAAACTGGTTACTCTTTTTAAATTTAAAAATCTTAAAACCCTTCCTGACCTGTTTCCAGGCCTTGCTCATAAAACTCCCACACACCAGTCTGTTGGTTCCCAAGTGTGATAACCTTATTAATTCATTTTTACACCCTGTTGTTCTTCCTACTTGTTTTTTTTGAGGGCTGAGGGTCTGGACTAAGCTGTGCATTACTGCCTCCAGTTTAAATGAGCCCTTTGTGTGCCCCATGTCACTCTTCTCATTTTCCTCCTGGTTTTTGCTATTTCTAGCCTGTTACTTTAACAGGAGTTCTAGTTTGTTGGTGCTTCCATAATTGAGTTCTGCTTTCTTATAGACCTTTCCTTATTTATGTATTTAGTGGTACTGGGGTTTGAACTCAGATCCTATACCTTGAGCCACTCCATCAGCCCTTTTTTTGTGAATGATTTTTTCGAGATAGGGTCTCCTGAACTATTTTTGCCCAGGTCGCTTCGATCTGCGATCTTCCTGATCTCTGCCTCCTGAGTAGCTAGGATTACAGATGTGAGCCTCTGGTGTCTGGCTTATTTTATTTTTAAATATTTATTTTTTCTGGTTGTGGGGATTGAACCCAGAGCCTCATGCAAACTGCGCTCCTAGCTCTTTTGTCTTTTTGTTTTTGAGATAGGGTCTCACAGACACTGAACTTTACCCTCAAACTCCTGATCCTCCCACCTTTGCTCCCTAAGTGCTAGAGTTACAGCCGACTGGCTGTCCTCAAACTCCTTGTTCAAGTGACCGCCTGTCCCAGCTTCCCTAGGAGCTGGGCCACCACTCGCAGCCTTTCATGCCTTTACTACATTGAGTACCTACTTTGTGAAGGGCAGTGTTCTTGGTGGTTAGATCCTGCAGGAAGATTCCCTGCCCAAATGGAACTTGTACGTTAGTAAGGAAGGCAGATAAAAGACTTACAGATTAAAGAATCTGACAGACCTGGGGTCATTAAGTGCCGTAGCAAAATATGGCAGTCTTCTCATTTTCTCAGCAGAGTGGGAGACTTAGTTAAGCACAGAAATTTACTTTTTAAAGCTCTTGGAGGATGGGAATTCCAAGGTCAAGGCTCTGGCATGTTTGGTTTCTGGTGTGGGCTCTTTGTTTGACTTGTAGGAGGCTATCTTCTCATTGAGTGATCTTATGGCCTTTTCTCAGTGTCATCTCTCCCTGTTCTTCCCCCCCCCCCCGCCACCACCCCCGTGCTAGGGATTGAACCCAGGGCTCTGCCATGCTGACTAACTGAACTCATACTCTACCACTGAACTATACCCCCAGCCCTTTTTTTTTTTTTTTTTTTTTTTTGGTGGGACTGGGTTTTGAACTCAGGGCTTCACTCTTGCAAAGGCAAAGGAGGCACGCGCTACAGTTTAAACCACACCTCCAGTCCATTTCTCTCTGTTATTTTTAGATTGGGTCTCAAACCTTGATCCTTCTGATCTCAGCTTCCCACCAAATAGCTAGGATTGTAGGTATGAGCCATAGGCGCCTGGCTTGATTTAATTTTTAACAGGAACACTTGGGCTATTGCTATGTGGGAACAGATGGAAGGCAGGGTAGGGCTGAGGGTGGTAGGTGGGACCAGGGTGATGGCTGGGGAGGAGGAGGGTAGGAGAAAGACACTGAGAAGTGATTGGATTCTAAGGTAGGGCTGAGGTGATATCCTGATGGACCAGGCGTGAGGAGAGAAGGTTCCTGGCCTGAGCACCTAGAGAGAAAGTGACCATGAGCTGAGGTGCCTCAGAAGCAAGTTCAGGGCATGTGAAGTTGTGATGCCAATCTGGTACATCCATGTGGGGAAATAATATCCAGTGTTTCTGGGATTTCTCCTCACCTGGAAATGTAAATCTTCTTGTCCTCTATCTTAATTCTCTCCTCTTTCTGCCTAGGTGACTTCTAAGGCTCTGCAAGGGAATTCACTCCATGAAAGAGAATGGCTTTCTCTAGTCCACGGCCAGGGGTTCTTTCTATAGGCCTTTTTTTTTTTTTTTTGTGGTACAGGGACTTGAACTCAGGGCCTATACCTTGAACCACTCAACTAGCCCTTTTTTTGTGATGGGTTTTTTCGAGAAAGGGTCTCGAGAGCTATTTACCTGTGTTGTAATCCTGATCTCTGCCCACTGAGTAGCTAGGATTACAGGTGTGAGCCATCTTCTTTCTATAGGTTTTGTCCAAAGCAGCTGATGGTCAGGCTTTCTCATTGTGGTCACCTGTTGATGACTACTTCTTATATGTGTGTGAATCTTAACAGAGTTGAGTCCACATCTCCTAAGTTGAATGTGAGTATAGCCTCATAAGATGCACCTCTCTGTAGGAACCTGTCTAGGCAATATTGGGGACTCTAGAAAGATAAGACAGTGAGTCCTTGTGGTAAGACCAATGAAATAATGCTGGTGCTGATGGTGTAAATGATGTGCTGGGCACTTGAGATCATTGTTGCTTGTCCTACCAACTGGCAGGCAGGGTGCTTCTGGTCTGCATTTTATACAGGAAGGAAGTCTGGAGCTCCAGCAACTTCTATTAGTTAACTTTTAGGTCTTGAATTCTCCCAACACTCCATGAAACTTTGGAGACCTTAATGATAGAGCACTGTTTCCAGCTTTTATCTGAGCTCTGTGTTTCTAAGTTCCTGTTGGTATAGAAGAGGGCAGGAAAGCCAGTGACTCTTGGGTGCCAGTTGCTCTGCCTAGCACTTCTATTTTTACT